TATAAATTTTTTAATAAATTCGTAATAAATATTGTATTTATTTACTTTACGCATAACTATCTATTCTCTAAATATATACAATAAATGGTTTGTATATATTTGTAATTTGTAAGTTTTTTATATAAAGTTTTCTTTCGTTTCTATCTTCCACATAGTAATATTAGAGGGACGATAAATTTTTTAAAAATTATGTGATTTGATTGATCGATTATCATGGGTAATCACATAAATATTAACCAATTAAAACAATCTTCCAAATGCTGGCCCACATTTTTTCATAGAGTTGCGTTTATTGGCTGAAATTTTTCATTGATTGATTAGAAAAATTAATACGTATTATTACTTTATTGATATTACAAAAAAACATACATATATTTTAAAAAATTTATTTATATATTGATTACTTCTTCGAATTCTCTATTTGATTTATTTGTCGAGTAGGATTCGGTTGGACATTTTTGTTGTGCAGTAACAAGTAAAATTTCGTGAAGTCTGAAAAAGAGGAGTCGACGTTTTGTTTTATTGTTAACTTTAGTAAAGTCTGAAAAGAAGAAACAAAACTTGGAATTGTTGAAAATGATGTTTTTATATTTTTTTGTTAATTCATCGTCTTCATTTTTTTATTTCAAATATTCGCTAAGTAGTAATAATGATAAAAAAGTTTAATTGCAATTAATATTTTAATTTATCGTAATAAGATTATAAACTAATCCCATTGAGGAAGATACGTGAGCGTAATTCAATTATACTTACCATTCGTACAATTGAACTTCAACAATGGCCTTATTAAATATTACTATAATGGTTGTGCACTATCACAATCACTAGCTAAGAACACCCTCAAGCACATGAACCAAATTTGGCCAATTGTATTTTAGTATTTACGTAACTATCTTGGTGGTTATACTGGAGAAATGTAAATATTGCAACTTGAAGTTTCAAAGATCAGATGCGTGTTGATAAACTTTGAGATATACATTTTGATAAACTTCACTATTTTTATCAACATAATTTATTGCAAACTTTTAACGCAAGACCGATGTTAGATTTTTACCTATTAAAGGTCTTTTTTTTTGTTGACACCTAATCGAAAAATATTAAGGGCTAAATCTGGTACTGTAAATGATAATTGATAGATAAAATTGAAAACTAAAGTTTCATTTCCCTTAAAACACACATATAAATACGTAGCCGAAAAAAACTTTGCATCTATTATCATAATTCCTGGGACACCTGTGAAAATTTGCCGAATGATTTTTCGGCCGTTTCGGTTAAGTTTATGATTTCGGTATAATAGATTCAGTAACAGATAAGTTATTATATCGAGATAAGATGATAATCATCTGCCTCATTAGAGTTGATAATATAAGTTGACGTGTTTAAATCAATTTAGTCATTTCTTATTAGTTCCTTTCAAGGATCTTTGAGTTTGTAATTTACGGTAATTTCAGGGAATATATACAATATAAACCTATAAATGTGTATTTCTTAAAAACGTCATAAATCGCGAAATCTACAATTCCCTGATATTCTTTTATCATTGCTGATTTACTCGGCTTGTACCAAAATCTGAATAATATTGAAAAACCTACTAAATAAAGTTTATGTCACTTCATGCCATCCATCATACTAGTTCTATTATAAGGCATAGAAACAACAATAAGTCATAACTCTTACTTAATTATATTGGATTCATTCGGAAATATCGGATTTATATTTATTTGTTTCGGGTCATTTGTTAAATCCAATATACTTTGAAAATAAAAAAGACAATGCCAGAAACATGAATCAAAATATATAACACAATCATTTTATTTGTATTAGGCCACTCCAAATTGATTATTCGTTTAACATAACATAGAATATCTCATAGGAATTGAGGGAAGGGTATAAAAAAAAAAAAACACAAATTAATAAAAATATTGGCTGAAAAATTGTCAAAATTTTAAAAAATTAATACTGTAATTTGTTTTTAATCTAAAATTTTATAAAATAAAGGGAGTTATGTTAACCGAATAATTACATTGTCTGGCCTTAATAAAATTTACAGTTCATGTATGTAATAATTAGTTTTAAGTATTTTTTTTATTAAAATTAGAAACAATTCTATGTTTAGTAAAAAAAAAAAACTGCTATTGTGTATTATTAGTAAATGCTAGTTACAATTTTTCTGTCGTCTTTTGTATAATAAAAATCCAAAAAATGATGTCATTCCAACCAATACAATTCCACTCACAACACCAATTCCAATTAATAGCCCGTTAGCAGATGAAGAATTTGACGAACTTTGTGCTTTGTTTGTTTGTTTCTTTTGACTTATTGGAATATCTTGGGTTGTAGTCTCAGTATTATTAATGCCAACCCACGTATATTTTTGAATATCAAGGACATAAACATTTTTATTAAATAAACCCATTGTTGCCGGTATCATCCCTAAATACATAAGATCGTTTAGTAATTTTATTGTTAAATAAAGTACACTAATGAATACTTACCAAACGCAACAACCATATAATTTTTATATAATGCAGCGGAATGAAAGGTAAGTGATTGAGGAGTATTTGCAAGAGGAATATCGGGTATAGACCATATCCAATAATTTGTATTTAATACACAGAGATTAGGAAGTACTTCTGGGTCTATATAATTAGTTTCTGAACCGCCATAAATAATAATATCACCATTTTGATCTGATATAAAAAATAAGTAAGAAATGATGATGATTATTACACGCAAATACTATATACAGATATAAAGTGTATTTACTTAAAACGGCCGAATGGCCCACGCGAGCTCCAATAGAACTGCCATTAACTGACTAAATGATAATAATAAAATTTATAAAAAAATTAGAATTAATTAGTTATTAATAATAGAGCTAGGTACATACTTTAGTAGACCATATAAAAGAAGTTGTATTAAAAGTTCGAATCTGTATTTAATTAATTTAATAAAATTATTTTAAAATTATTAGAATTAAATCAAAATTAATAATTTAAAGTAATAGATATGAGCCATGCCTCACTCATATTAACACGGAGCGGCTGTCCTGGTAAATAATCTAACCCACCAATATAAACGATAATACCAGTTGGTAATAATGTGGCGGTATAATGATAATATGAAGGAGCTTGTGGTATGATCAATGTTGACCAGGACATAGTAGTAATATCTAGTATATTCATATCATTATAATAAGTTAACGAAGAATTATCGCTAATATTGGCTATAGAACTGAATCCACCAAAAATGAAAACTCTTCCTCTATTATCAACAACAGCTTTTATTGAATTACGTGTGTTAAAAGAACTATTAAATCCTGAAATATTTGGTATTGACCATAGAGAGTTATTGTTACGATCAAACTTGTATACAGATGAATTAAAGGAAGGAATTCTTGAATTTGGAAAAAATTGCCTCCCGCCAATTATAAAAACGGCCGAATCATTAGTAGGGCTTACACAAGATGTGGCATAAGTACTTCCTACAGGCATTTCAACGTCTTTATACCATGTAGGAGCAGCAGTGTTAAATAGGCTTGTATTTGATAAATCTAAATACCATACTTCATTGGTAATATTTATAACTGTCGAAAGTCCACCAAAAAAATAAAGCCTAGTACCGACTAATGCATTAGTTTGTGTAGCTCGGCCATGAGGAACATTTTGACAATTCACAAAAAAAACTAGATAACTTATAAGTGAAAAAGAAAAGAGAAAAGGTCGAATAAACATTTTTGAAACAATTATTACACCTTCAAAAGTTTCAATAAAATATAACTGAAATCAAATATAATTAATTATCGTAAATTTCACATAAATATTAAGAATTAGCATTTTAGAATGGTATTAAACGTTGGGACTGAGTTAGAATATGTATTTAAAGGTGTGTGTATATTTAGGGAAATAGCATTTACGGAAACATTAGATTTTCGAATCTAAATGCATAAAAATTTCATAATGCTTGAAATATATGTATGCATACATATTCAAAGCAGTATTTATTTACGACAAAATATTTTGCAGCAGAACCAGTAATTTAGTATCAGGAACATTTGTAAATTCCTTATTTCGCTAATTTGCTATCGTACTACGTACGTACGTACGTACGTACGTACATACATGTTTACTGTTATGAAATGCATCTCAGAACTGCATGGCGAATAATACGAATTAGGAAAAAAAACAATGATATTTTATAAGGATATAAATTCATATGTATCGTATATTGTTATTTGCTGCTATGGTAATATGTTGAGGTTTTTATTTATATAAGTGACCCTTTTGGATATTTGGATTAAGGAAAATGATAATAATTATTCTTATTCGTATTAGGATTTGTGTTAGGATAAGAAGATTCTATTGAATTACGCCAACAGTCATTTTGTTACAATAATAATTAAACTGTCTACTAATATAGGTAATACCGGCAATTGTGAATTTATAAATAATCAATTGTATAAAAGGCTTTCCTTAGTCCCAACTATATCAAAAGCAGATATACTGTATAAAGAATCACTGTACATATACTTTGCTTCATAATACCTCACTACAACACCTTATTTCAATATATGCCTTATTTTGTAAAAGTGATAAAAATTGGTGAATCGTTTATTTTGCATGCGTGCGTACGTACGTACAAACAGTTATATGTGTGCAACTATCTTCGCAGAGGACTCATTTATTTATTTATTTCATATAAAAATACAGAAATACATATTAAGCATTTTGGAAAAGTAAGTTGGATCATAAAATATTCACTTTAATACTGATGATGAATTTTATAATCATAATCCTGGTTTTTCAGGTAAAGCATTCTTTAATTATAGAATTGAACTTTGTTTAAACAAATGCTAGATATCAATTCAAGGATAGGCTTTAATTTCACTTATACTTATTTGCATATAATTCGATACGCACATGACTTTTTTGTTAAACGATGAAAGATTTTTACTACTAGCATTACTGCTGAATCGGGAATTGCTTTTCTTCCTTCATACGATGGATATTGGTATAATTGTACGACTGATATAGCAGCCGCTGTTAATAAAAGTAAATATTATCATTTTTAAGCTCAATTTTTTTTAATACTTCTAATAAGGTAAAATATAATTATAGGATTCAGTATTAAGCTCGTTGATTATTCGACTCCCATAACTCCAGGATTTGGTGGATATCTTGGAGGAGATTCTTCTCTTAAACGTAGTCGTGGCACTGGTTTTCAAGTATCTTCAGATGTCGGAAATGCAACTATGACATCAAGTAAAGCTGAATTTAACAATGAGATCAATAAGACGAACAATAATGAATTCTATTATTGTGATACAAAGGAATTTTCAACTACTCAATGTGAATCTCAATTTATGGGGCTGCCAAATCAAGCTGGCAAGAAGTGGTGTATATGGATATCAAATCCATTTAATAATAGTCAAAAAGCTTATGTATCATTCAGTCCTGATGAAGTTTCAACAAATGCAACTAACATTGATATGAGCATAAGTGGAATAGCTAAGAATATAAATAATGAACATTTTTTATTAGTTCTATTAATTTTATTTCAGATTCTGTGGGAATATTTTTACTAAATTGTAAGTTGAACAATTACCATATATTATAGTAGTTGATATTAATATTAGAATTAACCCCTTTTTAATATTTTTGACTGATTAATATGACTTATCTCGATAATCGCATATTAAATTCTTCTGATCTAAAAAAAATTCTCAAAAGTTCAAGTCGTAACTATCCATTATTCATACAATGATTGTCTTTGAAAATTTTTCTAATTTTTGGCCAGTGTTAAATAAATTTGCATACATTGCATTAATAAATAAATATGTATGCATTATATGGGCGAATTTTTTCTACTTGGTGATTATTAAAATGTTATGATATCATTTTAAAAATTTAATCCAATCATTTATGTGATATTGCTAATCTCCAGTAAAATAGAATTGCTTGATTTCCTAATTGTAAGACTGTATTCGATTATTCAATTCAGCAATTGCTGGCCTTAACTATTAATCCACTTATGAATAGTTTATGAAACCGTTTATGAAACCGTTTATGAAACCGCATAATAATTATAAATCACATTGAATTTAATTGATCAATTTTTGTCTTGGCTGTAAATTGTTTATGAAACTTGTCGCGTAGTTATCCAATTACCTATGGATTTTACTCTGATTCACGGGTCTTTTCACGCTTGGCTTTCTCTTACACTGGTGTATCGTTCAGCTACTAACCACCAAAGCGAAGACAATGCAGTATACAATTTCTTAACGAAAGGCTTCTTTAGAAAACCTAATTGCGAATTCAAACTTGTCTGGTCGATTCTCTTAAAGGATTACGACCTTATATATTATTACTTAATAATTGCGTCATTGATTACATGAATTAGACTTTTAA